GTACCCCTGACTGAAAAAACTCTTATCACCTTACTCTGTGTCGAACCCGGGTCTCTCGCATGACAGCCTGATCTTGTAACCAAAACCACTTGGCAAACCACAACAACTACTACTATTCTGTTACTACTACCACTGCTGATGTTAAGAGCAGATTAATCTTGTGGGCAAGGTTACTATGACTTCCCCCATATGGGCAGTGGTGATGTCACTGATGTCCAGTGGCATACATATCGCTAAGAAGATCGTGTCGATGGTGGTGGAAATGGGAGTGTAGCCTGGAGCACCAAGGGCAAGAGTCGTCTGATTAATCACCACAGAACTGGCGCCACCCTCCCTTCTCGTGGAGCTATCGAGCAAAAAATCTGAGAACCTATGGATCTTTCCGGAATGCTGTGACGATAGTTCTCACTAATCAGTAATCTTTCATTCCCATATCGTTTCATTCCCATACAGTCTTTCAATGGCTCTCTTTTTATTCCTACAACTATTAACAGGAACTTGTTCCCCCTCCCTCACTCACATTTTTACATTTCCAAACAGTCTCTTAAAAACTGCTTGAAATAATTTGTTATCTCATACAGCTTTGTGCAGATTTCTGAGGTCAGCAGTCAAAGTTCGGGAACACAGCAATAAAAAATTAATCGGATCGTCGGAAAACAAAATCAAGATTCCTATGAGATTGTCACTGGAAAAATGTAGTTCGTGCTTTGTGCGACATTCTTGTATAAAAACACGCGCGTATTCTAATGCAACGCTGTGTCAAAATTTCAAAGCAGATAGATAGATAGAGATTAGGATAAAGAAGATAGATAGATAGCACAGATTTTCATAGTAGAGAGCAAGATTTCTGAGGTCAACAGTTAAAGTTGGTCCACAAAAGTACAAAATAAACCGAGCCTGGAACACAGCAACGAAAAAAAAAACGATTGTCGGAAAACAAAACAAAGATTCCATTGTGATCGTCGCTGGTGCTATGTCGTTCGTGGTTTGTGCGACATTTAAAACAAAACCGCGCGTATTAGAATGCAACGTTGTGTCAAAATTTAAAAGCAATCGGTAAAGAACATTCGGAGATTGGCTATCCCCACCGCCTACCCAAAAGTATGTCGCAAGAGTCGACTAATTGGGAGCTTTCTTTAAAGTCGGAGGCATCTGCCTGAGATGCAATGAACAAGCAGTCCGCATACAAAAGCCAGAGTGGGACTTCAAATAACAAAAAATTACGTCCTAAGAAGGACGTAAGGAATAAAACCGTCCGTTATACCATTCGTTTTTATACACCCTAACATCATGTGTAAAAAGAGACATATAAAGATTTGTTGACATCAGATATGTATACTGGGGCAACAATCTCCCCTGTTGTCACACAAGCAGATATCTCAGGGTACTAAAGTGAATCGTATCAGAACTATTTTTTGGCCAACACTATGATGTCAGCTCCAAACGTTGACACTTACATCATCTAATGAACGTAAGTTTGTGACACGGCCATCTTTAGATATAGAAGGGCGTGGTTTGTGACAACTTAGATGAAATGCCGTAGAAGAGCTGCAGGAGTTTCAAGAAAAGACAAAATAATGTAAGTTTGTGGGCCATCATTTTAGGGGGGGGGGGGGGGGGGGGGGGGGGGGGGGAACCGAAATGAGACGAATGTTAGGAATATAGCCAGTCTTACAGGTCATCAAAGAAAAACAAATGAAGTGGTTTGGACACTTAACAAGAATGCCCTGGTACTATATACTATAGCAAGCCACACTAAAACGTTACAACGGGTATAGAGCGAGGAAACAACCTCAGAAAATATGGGATTATGGCATAAAGAACAACCTTACAGAAATAAACATCAGTCTTAATAATGCTTTGACAGAACGCATCGACGAACGTACATTTCCCATCCCCCCCCCTTTCCCCCGACACTTTACTCAGAAGAGAAGAAGAAGATGATGAGTTGTACTGAAAGACTCAAATATCACAGTCCAGCAGTAAACCACAACACAGCACGCAAACCACTTTTTCAAAAAGTATACACAAAAGGAGTGAAGAAAAAAGTATTGTATTAAAGATATTATACGAAATTAACGAAACTGAAGGCGTATCATTCACGTAAAGTAAAAAAATAGAAAGCGGAAGTTTACGAAAAATAAGATAAGAAACGAGAGTCGCACGTCTGAAAAAACATATATATGTATTGTATCTTTGGCAGTGGAATAACAATTGGACATAAATAACCCCTGGAACTTACTTCCATTCTTGTTTTGAAGAAATAACGACAGCAGAAATCTGAGACGATGGTAAGTAAGAATAATACTTAGGTTAACTTCTCACCTGCTCTTTTCTGTTCTGATATAATATATAAATGTGATATATCTTATAGTGACAACTACTGTGTGTTATTAGTGTGTAGTTATTTTCTTTTAAATTCAAAGTGATTTTAATTATTGTCTCTTATTTTTTCTTACTTTCATTTAAAAATTAAAATTCCCATGACACACCTGCATACAAGAAAAATTTCGGTACTACCATTTTAGCTCACCCCAAACAAAGTCATAGTGGAACACAGGAAAATAAAGTTGCACATCTTCACCGATCGGGACAGTGTGGGTCTGTCTGCTTCTTTGATCCCATCACACTGCAGGAGTCCTTTTCAGGGCTTTTTTTTTTGTGTGGCATTCAAAGCCATTTTATGTGTTGCACATAACCTAGTTACAGTTTACTTATTTATAACCAAAAGCGGCTATCTTCCGAATAACAGTCACAAATTATATTATCGAGACAGAAAATATACCCTAACAGGGCCTAAGTCACGTGTCAATTCCGGCGACTTCCACCACCGCCAAGAGTATCCCCCACGCCGTTCACGCGGCGTGTTGGGGTTTAACTAGATGGCTGGGACTCACGAGCAGCAGCTACCGCATTTCCTGCATCTGCCTTCATTTTATTTGCTCGTGAGTCAATCTTGCCATCTAGTCCCCGGAAGTTCGCAATTCGCCGGTGGCGGTATAGTCCCCGGAAGTGTGCAGTTTGACACGTGACTGAGGCCCTGTTAGGGTATATTTTCTGCCTCGATAATTTGGGACCGTTATTCTTAAGATAGCCTCAAAAGCTCCTCCTTCAGGGATGCTGGTTAACTGTTCTTCCCACCAAAGCAAGCCAAGCCCCAAGAAAGTCCAGTATATATATATATTATAGGGATGTTATGTTACTTCCTTCAGTGTTCATATAGTGCGCGAAAAAGTGTGTGGTATATTGTATCTTTTGTGCATGCAAAATTGTATTACAAATTGCACAACTTTCTTTGTGTGAACGACTGTGCAACTTTGCTTGTTGAGAAGAACGCTATGTGCAGTTGTCAGGGGAATGAAAATTGGGATATTTTGGGGGACCCAGAATAGGGCTTTTGGGGGGGGGGGGGGGCTGGCTGACAAGAGCAGTCAGTCTCCTCGCTGGGTAGCCGCAGCACTGTTTCAGAGACGGGTGATACTCAGGTGTGGTTGTTGGTCCTCAGAACCGATAACCGTCAGCCCAGGATTGCCTCAAGGTTCTGTCACCAGTGCTATTCAACATGTACACAATGCTGATAACTGAGCATCAATTGCACGGGAGTGGCAGGACCTTGTCATTTGCCTATGACCTCTTAGTATATCAACATGGAAGAGATCGTCAAGAGATTACCAAGTCAATGCAGAGTGAACTTAATCACATCTCCTCCTGGTGTGCAGATTCTAATGCTCATGGCAACCATTTGAAGGCCTCAGTAACGTGGTTCTCCTTTGACACACATATAGTGAAGGCAGACTCACCAACAGGGGAAAGCAGCGAGGACATTTTGACGAGAACAAATCTGATGACATACCTCAGAGTAAGGTTTGATCGCAGCCTATCCTTCAAAGAACATGTTGACCATGTCATAACAAAAGCATGCAAAGGCCTATCAGCAATGAGGGTTCTGGCCGCCGCTAACACTGAGCAGAGACTGCTTCGGCTTCTGTTCCAGGGACTTGTACTTTCTCCCATCGAATATGCTCTTGCCATCCTCACTGTCAGCCATACTCAAATTGAAAGACTTGGGAAGGTGCAAAATGAAGCAATGAGCATTATCCTGGGGTGCACTGGAGACACCTCTCATGTAGCAATGAGGTACCATCTTGACTTCCCTACCATGAACTACAGAATCAAGATCTGGAGGGCTTGTGCATACCTCACGATAAGCTCAGATCTGAAGCACCCTTTGCATCACATGCTCTTCAAGAAAAAGGGCAATAGGCTTAAAAGGGGCAAATCATGGCTGGGTAGGGCAGAGGATAACATCATGCAGCTTTGCAGCCTTACAGACGTCCATCCAGGTGAGGAATGGATACCAGAGTCTAAAGCGCCCAATCTCACATTCTCCTGTGTTGTGACGTTTGATAGAAGTTGTCAGAGGCAGAATCCAGCTGCTGTCAATGCCGAGGTATGCGAGCTTATCAGTGACAAGTCAGATGAGACAGATGTGGTGATCTTCACAGACAGGTTGGTTATACGAGGACATAAAGAGTGCATGGGCATTTACAGCTCGCTCTTCAGGCAGAACAGTTCAAGAAGCCAGCGGTTCCTTCTCCATGACTACCAGCAGCATGACGATAGAGGTGATGGCGGTGTCACAAGCTTTCATGTGGCTAAAATCACAGGACTATTCTGCGTGTGTGTGCTGAGTGATTCTTTGAGCATAATCTGGCGGGTCGCGGCAGGCTGGTTATGCAGACAGTGGTTTGAGTCATTGCAAGACTCTCCTGTATGTGCAGTTTCCTTCATATTCGTCCCAGGGCATGCGAGCCTTGTTGGTAATGAAAGAGCTGATAAACTGGCAGATGCTGCAATAATGGAAGGTAGCCGGCCCATGAATTACGCAGACATTGTCATTGCCCTTAGAGAGACTGACTGAACTGTTGATTCGCCAGTAGCGACCAACCGACTTTTATAACTTGTTGTGGGGCCAAAATGGAGCAATGTTATTGGCAAGAATGGCTGCAACTATGTTGGAAGCAGCACATTTAGTGCGTCTACACCAGAGGTTATGAAACTGAGTGCCGCAAGCTTTTGCCAGGGGTGCCGCGGCAGTAATCAGCAAAAGTCTTCTAAACATTGTGAAATTATTAAAGAAGGCATGCGGATACTTAAGGGTTACAATTTAAGTTGTCTTCCCTCAGTACTGTTGAAAAGAGATTATTGTTTATTTCACACTAAGACGTTTTTTGTACGGCATAAAATGCCAATCGCAACTTGCTTGAATTGTCCTTGTATTTATCTAAAGCTGCGACCGATCCTCTCCCTGCAGTCGTTAAGGTACAGCTGCGAGCCTAAGCCATCTAAACTGACCTGCCTCAGTTCGCGGAAAGGTAACTCACGACTAGAAGAAAATCCGAGGAAAACTAAGAAAATATGATCATAGCCACCTCACTTGTCTGACTTTGTTTTTTATATATATAAGAAGGATTCTTAGAATCCTATGGATGAAGAAGAGGAAAAACATTGACAATACTTAGTTTGCTTTGCTGTGGCTGATGTGAATACATTTAAAAAACGTAAAAGAATTATTTTAATAATTTTTTGTTGTTTACTCTTTACAGGCTCGGAACAGTGAAAAGGCTATGTAAGTATTATTGTTGTATGAATTTGTTTACTAATCCCCTAGGAAAGTTTCAGGATCTCATTTGGGATGGGAGTTTGCGGGGGTTAATAGCCTTTTATGACATGCTTGTTTGGGGCAGTGGGTCTGTTCTTGTCACTCCCCCCCCCTTCCTAATAGGGCTTCAGAACCCACACTGGGAAAGGTAGATATGATTTCATTCTTCTGTTATCCAGATGAAAAGATATACAAACATTTTATCGTTCTCTAGCACAGCGGTTTTCACCCTGTGGTCTTGATTCCTTTGGGGGCCGAACAAACATTTCACAAACACACATTCACTGAAGTTATGATGTAGCAACGAAAATAATTTTATGGTGGGGGTCACCACAACATGAGGGACTGTGTTAAAGGGTGGCTGCGTTAAGAAGTTTGAGAACCCCTGCTCTAGCTTGTTCTAAAATTACCACATTACTTTGCCAAGAAACCTGTCATCAAAACAGTAATGGGGGAGGGGAGGTGGTGGTAATGAGCTTCCTCTGACAGTAGCCTTTTGTGTTCATTTGATTACTTTGTCCGGCTTTACAGATCATTAAGCTATGTACACCGAAACACTATGGTTTCAAATTTTAATCTGATTTTTGTTTCATGCAATTCACTGTCTTTCTTTATTCCTTTCTTTTTCATTGTTTTCTTGTTTTTTTTTTTTTTCATCTTTCTTTGTTATGCCTTTTAAGTTTGCTTAGCATATGAACATTTTTTTAATATATATATAAAAATTTTTTAATTTATTACCATACTTGTTTAAATGCTGTTTTTTTTTTTTTTAATTAATAAAGGACAACACTGGCGAGGTGGAGAGCATCTCAAGTAGGAGGCATCAAAGAAAAGGTTAGTGAAATATGAGAAAAACAGAAATAGCAGCAGTATTTTCCAATTTAATGATTCTCAATCAGCTAAGCCTGGCATGTGATATCACAACGTCTAGTTTGAGAATGGAGGTGGAGGCGGTCTCTGTTGTCTTATGCTGGATTGAGTATCCGCTGTACACACAATGTCGTAATTGTAGCTGACCTATGTGGCATGTTGAGAAAGGTGGAGACAGGCATGATCCGTGCAGAGTGGCACCCATCATTTCAGAACAGTGCCGAGGCACAAATACATAATTTCAGTTCGAGGAAAATGGCGCTGCAGAGAGTTGTCAAGAGATCTGGGATGTGTCAACACTCAGAGAAAGGCGAGGCAGGTGTACAGTCAGACAATTACTGGTACCATTGTAATTGGAACTCTTTGTGTGCTGCTGAAGATGGGGACATAGCACTTATGGGATTGTGCAGAGTGCTATGATGTCTATTCTTAATTCAACATTCAACCAGCTAAGACCTGTGGACCCTTCTTGTATTTAAAGTCTGTCACATACACCATACCCAAAAAAATGCATGGGTCCCTTAAACTTGTTCTATGGACCCCTGGATGTTTGCTGACCACCAGACGGTAAACACTGAAGAGAATGGTACAACTGGGAGTGACCAGGGGGATCTGAGCAACACTTTACACTCAGAGGAAAGGCAAGATGAACATATAAACAAACTACTACCTGCACCATCAGAATGGGAACTCTTTGCTGGCTGCTGGAGATGAGGATGGAGTGATTATGGGAATGTTTTGAATACTGTGATGTCAGCTTGTAACTCAACACACTCACAGCATGTCTGACACACGATTGCCCACACTTTGATAATTAGAGACAATAAATCTGCCCGTGGAAGTGACTCTATAAAATAAACCGTGAGGCGCAGTTGAAGACCTCAGTCACACATTTCATTTTGTGTCTCATGCTATGATAGATGCATAGCAAACATTGTTTGTGGAAGAAGAATAAAAAGGCTTGTGTATCTTCCGTCTACTCTTGTTACATTATTAATTAATTTACGTCACAACTTTAGTGTATTAATTAATTTATGTTACAACTTCAGAACACACAGACGCCCAAGAAAAAATCAATCGACTCCAGAATTTCTCAGAACAAATTGGACTCCAAATTAACACCGCAAAAACAAAAATTCTAGACCTTACCAACAGTTCAGTTGATATCACGCTGAACAACAACAGCCTTGAAAAAGTCAACAGTTTCACTTATCTAGGGAGCAAGATGTCATCTACAGGAGATACCGCACCAGAAATATCATTTAGAATAGCACTGGCATCTAGTGCCTTCAATAAACTGTCTAACATCTGGAAATCAAAGACACTTAGCAAACACACAAAACTCAAGATCTTCAATTCTTGTGTGATTCCAGTACTAACCTATGGATGCGAGAGTTGGAAATCAACGAAAACTCTAGACACAAAATTAGACAGTTTTGAAAATAAATGCCTTAGAAGAATACTAAATTTCAAATGGTCAGATTTCCGAACCAATACACAAATAAGGCAAGAATCCAGGCAAGAGTATGTGTCTAATTTTATACGAAAACGCCGCTGGAACTATGTCGGCCACGTCCTTAGAATGGATAAATCAAGACTTCCTTACCAAGCCCTCATTTGGACACCACAGGGAAAAAGATCTCGTGGAAGACCAAGGGAAACCCTACGTAGAACTATCATCAGGGAAGGCTCGCTCATGGGCCACTCAAACATCCAAGACCTACAACGGATTGCAACGGACCGCCGTGCATGGAGAGTCACGACCTCTGCCCTATGTGCCGCACTCGACACAAGAGGAAAGACTAACTAACTAACTAACTAACAACTTCATTGTTTTGCTTAGAAGCATGCGATTCACAATTTCTAAAATGCATGTTTTTCGTGAATTGTTATCAGGAGCGTAGACCTTACCTTGCAACAGATTGTGATAATCTGCAAGAAGCAGAGAAGTGGCGCAGACAGATCATTGGTGAGATATCCAGAAAGGTTGCACAGATTCAAAACGGTAAGCTTATTGCTGTTATTTTTAATGTTTGAAATAGGGATGTAAAAAAATGTTGTCGTCATGGAACATTACCCATCATAAAACTAACTGAGAAATAAAGTCTGAAAGGGTTCAGTCACTGGGTGAGAATGATACCAGCAACAGGAACCTGCAAAATGAAAATGAAAGTAAAGAGGCAAAGGGATACCTAGAAGAAGATCAATTGAGGGGGGGGGGGGGGGGGGAGGGATTTGACTTTTGCTATCCTAACAACCATGTCATAAAAGGTGACAATTTAAGGGTATGCTGAAACCAGATCTATTGGGTTGACATATCGCAGCCTTACTGTAAACCACAACGCATCCTAACAAGATGACTTATTAGAGGTAGCCAGATCTGTTGGGCTGAAATATCGCAGCTTTGCTGTAAACCATAACATATCCTAACAAGTGTATCCTAAAAGATGACAAAAAAAGGGTATACTGAAACCAGATCTATTTGGCTGACATATCGCAGCCTTGCTATCAACCATAACACAACATGTTAATCACCATTTTGGGGACGATCGCAGAGAAAAAGAAGAAGATTTGAAGAAGTGAACAATGATTATTTATTTCTTACCTACTTTGAAAGAATAGACTCAACAAACTGGATGTTTAAATACCGTTTTATTTGTCTGTGCTTTATCTGTCTATTGAATATAGACCCTAGCTCACACCAGGTCACTCTATACTTTATCAGCACATTTAGCTCACGACATGTTCTCTTATGATGCTGGGACATTAGAGTCTTTCAAGCAAGCCATGGTTGAGAGAACATTCTGTATAAAAATATACAGTTGGTATATGAAAGATAGTGTTTGGAATATAAGACGACTGTGTGTGCCCAATTAGACCCTTTTAGAATTAATTGTATTCACTCCTCTTCAGCATTCCAAGCCATAGTGGTTCGTTGCTGCAGATATCACCTACCTCCCTTTGTCTCTGTGATCAATTTAAAACCATCCAAGTTCAAGGCTTAGATATCTGTTGCACATCAAAATTAGGTTTTATAAAGTTGGGGGTGTTCTGTCCATAATTCAGCCCCCAATCTCCATGTCCACAGTGTCTCTCTTTGCCTGTTCTGTACCCTTTTGAACCTCACAGCTTGAAAAACCCTGCTGTATTCTATGCTACTGCTGTATTAGCTCTTTAGATAAATGAGCAAGGGGAGCTCATCTTCAGGGGATTTCAGTATTACACTTAAAATGTCCAGTATAACATTATGTCTCATTCATTTTTTAATTTTCTTCTATCATTGAAAATTCAGCAGCTCGCAGAGTTTAGTTTCCAGTTGAGTTAGTTGCACATGTTTTTTTTTTTTTTTTTTAATTGTATTCTTTGGTGCCTTGAGAATGATCAATACAGTGTGTGTATGTAATGTGTCATGTATTGCAGCGGGTCTTGGTGAGTTCAAGCTGCGGGACCTCAATGATGAAATCAACAAGCTGTTGCGGGAGAAGGGACACTGGGAAGATAGAATCAAAGAGCTTGGAGGTCCAGACTATAAGGTAGGAAAATAGTATCTGCCTTATTAACCCTTCTGTCCCAAGAAGCAGAAAAACTGACACTTCCGGTTTGGTCCAATTCTCTGTCACTTTCTGATTTGTCTGTTGTGTATTGTTTGTGAGATACATGGTTAATGCTGTTTGTTGCTTTTGCACCTGCACAAACATTTAGAATGTCAGAAAATGAATGCATTAATTAACAATAGCATTTAAGGGAGTTTTCCTGTGAGCTGAATGAGCCAGAGTGGATGTGTTCCATTTAATGCTTAATATTTAATATGATTACAGCTTTCATATATTTTTTAATATTTCCATTGCAACGACTGTACATCAAGGAATATTGATGGCTAGTTGTAGAAGAGGAGGGCAAAGAAGAACCTGCAATGACAACATCAAGAAACGGACAGCACTAAGTCATCATACACTTAATCATCAAGTGGAAGACAGAGAAAGTTGGCAGGTTTTGTATGCTAGTGCTCCCATCAATACACCTCCACAACCCTAACGGGTCAAGGGTTATTGCATGGTTTGGTATTTATTTCGACGACAACAAAAATTAAGAAAGTAAATAAATACATTTTTTACAAACATTTAATGACTGCGAAATAACAATTATTGTAAACAAAATCTAGAAATTGTCTGGAATTTTAACAATATCACAGTTTTTTTCTTGTTGGCTACAACCTGGTATCAGTGAGATGACAAAACCACGACACTGGGCTACAACCTGGTATCAGTGAAATTGCAAACCACGACACAGGGCTACAACCTGGTATCAGTTAAATGACAAAACCACAACACTGGGCTACAACCTGGTATCAGTGAAATAACAAAACCACAACACTGGGTTACAACCTGGTATCAGTGAGATGACCAAACCACGACACTGGGTTACAACCTGGTATCAGTGAAATAACAAAACCACAACACTGGGCTACAACCTGGTATCGGTGAAATGACCAAACCACGACACTGGGCTACAACCTAGTATTTCTGAAATGACAAAACCACAACACTGGGCTACAACCTGGTATGAGTGAAATGACAAAACCATGACATTGGCTACAACCTGGTATCAGTGAAATGACAAAACCACGTCACTGGGCTACAACCTGGTATCAGTGAGATGACAAAAGAAGAAGAAGAACTTGTGATAAATGAAATAAAGAGTTTAATTGTTTGTTGAAACTGGGGTTTATTCTCATGTTCCAGTATACATAGTAAATTTACTGTTATCTGTAGTATTTGTTTCATATTGATTATACTTACTTTCTGTCGAGTAGTGTATAGAGAGAATACTTTTTTAAACTCTTCTTGCAGAAAACCGGGCCTAAAATGCTGGATAGTGACGGGAAAGAGGTGCCAGGGAATAAAGGTTACAAGTAAGTGTCTGGAAATGTGTGTGTACTGTGTGAAACATTATCTGTTGCTAGTGCAGTTTCTTCTTCTGTATTTACCCTTAAAAAGATGGCTGGCACATTGTATTGTGGTTTACAGCAAGGCTATGATAACTGCACTATCAGCCTAACACACCCGATTTCAGCAAAATCCTAAGGGGGAAAAAGGGGGGGGGGGTGTCAGTGAGTATTCTTTATTTCCTTCCCAAAATTTAAGTGCAGAGAAGTGCACCCCAGCAGGTTTTGTTTAATAAACAGGTAGTCTGATAATCACCAAATGCCCATCACTGTTCCTCGTGAACAAATTGACACAGACTGTGGCCTCAGTGAAGTCACTAGCATACACACACATTAAATGCATAAGGCAGCCGTCAGAAGTGCCACCACCAACAGTCCTGCACTATAAGTCATCAGTGGAAGCAGCAGTTACAAATCAGTAGTTGCGCTCTCAGTTAATTGCATAAGGCACAAACAGTTCTGTGGCAACAGGCCACTTGCCAAGAAAGGTGAAGTAATAAGAGAAATATCTAGACAACAGCCAGTGTCAGCAGTTGTGAGACAACAGCCAGTGTCAGCAGTTGTGAGACAACAGCCAGTGTCAGCAGTTATGAGACAACAACAACAAAAAATGATGTTGATATTGGGCACATCCTGAGGTTAAGCAAGCAGAGAATCACCAGCAGGCACTTAGATGGGAAACAAATGGATTGACGAGAAATGAAGACATCTAAGAGACAGACTGAAGATGGACTGTGATTGTTGGCACCTTCCTGTCTTTCCAGACAATAGGGTTATATTGTGCTGTGATGGCGCATGTGAATTATAGCCCAGAGTGATGGCGAGTGTGACCTGCATTAACCCTTTGGAGACAGAGCCTTTTTGGAGTTTCAGTGCCAAAAAGACGAAGCCTTCAGGGGGGGATTCTCATAGTTTATATACACAAAAATTATAAAAAATACATTTAATTAACATATACAAAAATATATATATTCGTGGTAGGAAATTGAATGAGCTAACAGAATATTTATGAATCAAACTGAAGCATTTATTTAAATTAACTGCTTTGATTTGCATAATTTATGCAAGCTTTTTTTCTTCTTCAAAACTTGGGAACAAACATGACTAACCTAAAATATTTGGGTAAATTTTTTGATGGGTGAAGCTTAAATAAGTCCTACCATTTGTGTTTTGGGAAGTAAGGCCCTTGGAGGCCCTTCAGACATATGGTTCTGCTCATTTTCCTGCCTCCGGCTATGTTTCAATTGCTATGACACAACAGTACTTTTTGCCATTGTTGGCCACAGGAAGCCCAAGAAAAAAAAATTGATGTAAAATTACCGAACACATGTGCAAGAAATGCGAGATGCAATCTGATTAGCTGGTACAAAAACCTGTCAGCCAATCTCAAGGCTTGTATTACATAGGGCCGACTGATCAGCCCAGTTGTCCTTTTGGGTACTTTGAGTCAGGCCGATATTTCGGCTTCATTGTCTCCAAAGGGTCAAGAAAAGTCTTCCACAGTTATAGCCTGGGATTTAAGGGCTGCTGTTGCCATCATTTGTGTTGAGTGTATTTCTCCTCAGATACTCAGCTCTGAATCTTTCTGCAGTCATTTCTTCCATCATTCTCATTCCCTTCACGCAGCACAGTCCATCGAACTTTGATGAATGAGTCCAAGGCATGCAATCCATGATATTCAAACAGCTAAACCCATGAAGGTTCCGGGGTCCTGGGTCTTGGAAGAAAGAGAATAGACTAACTGCTCCCCAACAGGCCTGTTGTAAAAGTAAACTAATTATGGGTGTTTTCTTCAAAATTGGGAAATATCCACCTGAGATGCAATGAACCAACAGTCTGCATACAAATATGCCAGATTTGTAAAACGGATATGCACACAAAACTAAGGCTATATAAGAAAGTCTGAAGTCCAGAAGTGGGTGAACAATCGTAACTTTTTGCTGAAGTTTACAGCCAGTGAATGCTATGAAAAAGAAGAAGAGGATTGTGTAATCAGTGCAGTAAAACCCACAGTTGCTTCAGCATTTTAGATAGACATCGTTATTTTATTACCCTCATATTGCCTGTGTTATTCATATCATCATATGCATATTGACTCTGAACATGAGGGAGAGGGGGGGGGCTATGTGGTCTTGAAGCATGGTGTCCGCCTTGAGTGCTGGAGGTTCCGGGTTCAGTCCCCGGTAAGGGCTGGGATTTTTTCACATGGACTTCTAGTGATTCCTCCTGGTCTCTGAGTAGTGAGATCGGATGCCCATGTGCATTGTTGCGTAAGTATGAAATCTCTTGACAGTTGGAAATCAAAAAGAGTAGCCTAACGCGCTGCCCAGGCAAAATTTGGAGTTTAAAATCTAACCAAAGTATTTCAGGATCCTCGCTGGTGCTACAGAGCCTGTGCACTGTGCTGAGCATTTTTCGGACTCAGGCTTGAGTTAGAAAAAAGAATTGGGCATTTTTGGGTCACTACGTGTGTTATGATGTTGATCCGTTGTTCAAACCTGAAACTCTAAACATTTACTGCAGGAACTGTTCAGGATATATGTGTGAACCTTTTTTCATGAATCTTTGTTTACAGGTATTTTGGAGCAGCCAAGGATTTACCTGGAGTAAGAGAGTTGTTTGAACAAGAGCGTGAGTTGGTCATTATTGCATAGTTTCTTAGTGTTTATTTTCGGACCCCCCAGAAGATCTTGCAGGTTTAGAGCACCAGAACAGATCAGCCACACAGTAGGATCAGTGAAAGACAAATTGCGAAGACCTCAGGCAATCTCATGAAGAATCTCAGTGCAGTGCACGAACTCCGTCTCTGGGTAGTAAGACTAGACGCTCGTGTGTATTGTTTCGCACGTAAAACATTCAGTGGCAGTTAGAAATTGAAAAAGAGTAGCCTAACAGAGCAGCCACGCAAAATTTGGAATTAAAAATCTACCCAAAATATTTAAGGATCCTCGCCAGTGCAACAGAGTTTGTGCACTGCGCTGAGATTCTTCAGACTCGTGCTTGAGTTGGAAGTAAAATGGAGCACTTGTGGGTTACTACTCTTGTGCCCTGATGTTGATCCGTTGAATAAACCAATAATGGGATTTGAAACCTGCGACCGCTAAGCAGACACGCAAGCCTACACGCAACCTACACTTAAGCCTACACGCAAGCCTACATGCAAGCCTGCTATCTGTTGCATCATCTTGGCCCCCATGTCACTACAAAGATGGATTTTGCATATTTACAGGCATTATTTTTGATGCTCACATGAGGATCGGAAGGTCGTGGGTTCGCTCCCCGACTTTTAAAAACAATGACTTGACTCCCATGTGGACCCAGCATTGAGTGGGTACCGGGTGCCGTCCCAGGAAGTGAAGGCGGCTGGCATGATGCTGACTACATCACTCATCTTGTACCAATTGGTCTATTAAATATAGGTCTAGCCCTATATGCCCTATACATCTAAAGGCGTAGAAAAGGGACTTTTACTTTTAGTCATTATTTTGCACGGCAGTTTTTTTTAAATGAAAGAAAGTAATCAGTTAACTACAAAACAGAGCAAATAAATAAATGCTTTTCTTTCCCCACAACCCCCTCCCCCGATATCTCCCAAAAAAAACAGAATTTACATGTTTTTGTTTTGGGGGTCGGAGGTTTCTCACCAATTCTACAGACTCGGCGTTTGCAGCTAGTAACAGAGCTGTTATTTAGGCATGTTGGTCACTGTCCACAGATGACATGTCATCAAAACCGGCTTTTGATCAAGGGTGACAGGGTTAATAGTTGCAAGTCATCCTAGTCACACTCACCATTAACATGCCTCCCCAGGGCACACAGTGTAAAAAACTTATCGTCTGGAAAGACAGGACTGTACCAGCAAAAAAATATTGAATGAATTACCACTGGTTCTTGTTACTTCCAGCGCCTCCACCTCCCCGCAAGACCAGAGCCGAGCTCATGAAGGACATCGATGCTGATTACTATGGTTACAGGGATGAGGATGACGGGATCATTGTTCCTTTGGAGCTAGAGGCAGAAAAGAAAGGTGCTTGCATGTTTGTAGCTGGCTTTTGTATTTGAGTTATTGGTGGGGTTAAATCCTCAGGGCACTCCGAACACAGAGCAGCTGCCATGCTGGACACTCACCTGCAGATTCAAAGGTTGTCGGTTCAAATCCACATGGAGCCAGATTTTATTTTCACACATGTCTTTGGCTTCCAGATTCACCCAGCCTTAAATGGATGTCAGATAAAGTCCTGGGAAGTAAAGTCAGTCAGAGTGACGTTGACCGCATCACCCACCAAGCGCCAATTGGTCTTTAAAAATATGAGTCTAGCCACAAATAGCTGATGTGCCACTGGTGTGTCAAACGACATTTTTTTAAAAACTGGACACATTCATAAATAACCAATCCCTTATCTTGTACCATAGCGCCCTGCACCTAATAGTACCAATCCTGTGCTGGTTAACAATTCCTGTGTCTGATGTGAAGCCTGGCTTACTAATCTCTATTCCCTGATTTCTTGATTTTTAGCATCTTGTCCTTACCTGAGGTGGGCTGATTTAGTAAAGAGTGGGCAGATCTGGGCACATCCAAACCCATGCATACTGTCTACAGGTTACTTCATAACCATTTTGAGGTGCCTCAAATATAACCACACTATACAGTTGCACAGGGTTTCCAGGATTTGTAGCCATTTCTTCTTTGCACAAACCGGCTGTAAACTCTGGTGAAAAGTTCTGGTTGTTTAACCACTTCTGTACAGGGTTTGTAGTGGACCGGGAAACTCTCTTCCTTTCCTTGCTCTGTTCTCTCTTGCTCTTTCTCCTGTCTCCTGTCTTCTTCGTCCCCTCTCCATCCTGTCTTTTCATTTTCTCTAGATTTCCTTACCCTCTCCCCTCTCTCAATCTCCCCCCCCCCCCCCCCCCCCCATTTTTTTCCCTGGTTCATCTACATATGTTTTTTGCCCCATAGCTGTCTTTTTCTAGTGGTTGTGTCCACTACACTTGAAATTGTGGGGGGGGGGGGGGTTTCAGTACGAGGCTGTTTTTTTTTTTCTTTGATGTATCTTGTCTCCCTTCCTGCCCCTCTCTCTTAATCTGTGTTTGTCACTGCCTTCCTTACCCACCTCTCTCTCTCTCTCTCTCTCTTGCTTTATGTCTGTTTGCCTCCCTTTATCACTTCCTCTTTGTATACCCCCCTCCCATTCTCCTGCTCTGCCTTTTTTCTCTTTCTTTGGTTCTCTCCCTCTGTCTGCTTGCCTCTCTATGCTGTCCCTTTGTCTCTCTCTCCTTTATGTCTACAATTCTCTATGCTTGCATCTGCTTCTCTCCCTGTCCATTCTCTCTCCCTCTCTCCCTTCCTTCAACTATCTTTGTCATATTTTCCTCCTTCCATATCTCTGTTTCGTTCCCTTCTTCCTTCTCTCTTCATCTGCCCATCTCTGTATCTGCATTCCCTCTTTCTGTTTTTGTCTCCCTCTCTGTCTTTCGCTGTCTCTTCCCCACTCTCCCTCATCATGTCTCCATCCCTCCCTCTCGTTTTTTCCTCCTTCCCCAGACTTCTTTTCCTTCTTTCCTCTACCTTCATCTGTCCATCTTTACACTGTCTCTCCCAGCCTTCCTCAGCATGTGTCTTCCTCCCTCTCTGCATGACTCTCTTTCTCTCTCCCTAACCCCTTCAGGTACCAAATCCAGAACAGACAGGACTTCAGTTTGTTGCCCTCTACCACCAAGTCCTAAAAAAAATTTTCAAACACTTTATCAAGCGCAGGGACCGACCAAAATGAAGATGGGCACAGGATATAAGTGACCCTTGAGTATAAAAAGTACATGAGACTGGAGAGCTGGTGAGGGACCGATTTTTATTTCAGGACAAAGGAAATGCTACATGATGATGATGATATATGTGCTGGTATACCAATATATGTGGCACGAATGAAGTACATTGTACACCCCTGAACAAGGCAAAAATCTTGTTTCAGTATTACACCGAGACAACCTTGAAAAAAACTAAGGAGACATTGAAAAGGACCTTGAAAAGCCTTGAAATTGATTGGTAAATTTGGCTATGAACCCTGTCTGTAGTTGTGTTTTTTTGGCCACAAGGTTTGCCTTAGTATGTCATATTCAGTCTGGCAAGGAGGGACGCATGAGAGGAAGAGAACGACTTGTGTATAATCTGTGTGCTACGGGAACAGGTGTCATTTACACCTTAAGAAATTTTGTGCAGGAGAAGGAGCATCTAAGGGTATGCCCAGTGTGCTGGGATGTCGATTCTTAAATCAGTAATCACCAATCATTCAGGTCTTGGAGTATGTATTCTGCTGTTGGGAGGTGATGTATCACATTTGCACTTACTGTTAGACCAGTTTTGAATTACATATGCGTGCTTAATCAGTTGTGGGCTGTTTTGAGTGAGGCACAGGATATTGACTTGTTTTGATCAGTACACAACAAGGTAGTCAGTCCTCTTAGTGCCAGGGCTGGTGGTTTTCTCATTGATTTAACAATCCAATGGAAATTAAACATTTGGAGTCTTCTTCTTTTCTTGCACCTTGTACCTCATCGAAGTGTCGGGGGGAGATGTAATGTTCGTTGATAGGCTCTGTCAAGAGCACTATTAAGACTGATGTTCATTTCTGTAAGGCTGTTCTTAATGCCATAACTCCATATTTTCTGAGGCCTTCCACTCGCTCTATACCCGTTCTAACGTTTTAGTGTGGCTCGCTGTGTCAGATAGTACCAGGGCATTCTTGTTAGGTGTCCAAACCACTTTATTTGTTGATCTTCGATGACCTGTAAGACTGGCTTTATTCCTAGCATTGGTCTGATTCTGTGATTTCGTATTCTGTCTTTCTTTGAAACTCCTGCAGCTCTTCTGAGGCATTTCATCTCTGTTGTCACAATTTTATGTTCTTTGGAGGATGTAAGTGTCCACGTTTGGCACTGATAGCATAGTGTTGGCCAAAAAAATAGTTCTGATAAGATTCACTTTAGTGAACTCATTTAGAGTCACCTACTGGAAATAGAAGAACAATCACAGAGATGAATGGAGGCAGGTGATTTCCTCAGCAGTGAACCTCATGGCTCAGAATGCGGAAGAAGTAGAGGACTACCTTAATCAGCGCTTGGCACAGTTATATCTGCTGTTGTTGCTCTTGTAGTGGTGATCTGCCATTAACATTTAAACATGTTCTGTACACAGCCATCAAAGCTAAAGTGAGGGACTGGAAAGAAAAACAAAACAAAATAAAAACTGGTGAAATCCCTGAAGAGCAAGTCACAGAGATGGAAACAGAGCCAGTACCTGCAGATGTAAGTTCTGATTGCATTAATGTTACAGTTTATTATATCTGCAGATTTCTGGTTGTGTTACTTTTAGAGTTAATAATATCCACAGAGTAATTTGTAATTGTAAGGATTATAAAAATTAGGAACCATGGAAATGAGGTGTCTGAGAAAGGCAGTAGGAGTGACCAGAAGAGATAAAATCAGGTATGAGGTCATACTAGATAAAGTCGGCACAGAACTGATTCTAAATTACATAGAAAGACAGCAAATCTAATGGTTTGCAGAATTGGAAAGAATGCCTTCTGATGCTATACCATTCAAGGCATATACCAAAAGAGGAGAGGCACGTAGAGCGAGAGATAGACCAAGAACAAGATGGAAGAATAACATAAGAGAAACTCTACAGTACCACGATATGTCTTTGGTCGAAGCAACCAAAAAAAAAAGCATGAAGCATGACCTTGTATCTCCCTCGACATCCGAAGCGGTAAAAGAGAATGTAATAAATGTAAAGGACCCTTTTGGCCCAATGTTTCTAAAGCTTTTTTTTTTAAAAACTTGCGAAGCATTTGTTAGAATCAATCTAATTAGTGGAGCCCCTTAGGTCTACCCTACCCAATGTCTTAAAAGTTAATAATGTTTGTACCCGTGTGAGTTCCGGGGCCCTGTTGTAGGGAAAACAAGAATAAACCCCTGCCTACCCAAAAGCATGTCCTAAGAGTCGACTTATTTGGAGCTTCCTTCGAAGTCGGAGTGCATCTGCCTGAGAGAGACAAGGAACCAGCAGTCTGCGTGCCAATGAGTCAGATCTGTAAAACAGATGCACACGCAACACTCAGGTTCTGGTACAGGACTGCAGTCCAGAAGTGGACGAACAACCAGGCGAAGAAGAAGAATGTTTAGAAGTAATGTTACAGAGCAGAGGAAAAGGGGGTAGGTAGTCAGTGAATATAAAGTAAAGAGATATCTTTTTAATTGCATCATGTCAGTGCAATGAAATATTGCAGTTTTTTAGGATGTACCATAACAGTTGTGTTATTGTCACCAGTACACATGATATTGCCAACACTTGGCCAAATATAGAAGTTCTTCCAAAGTTCAGTAAATCAAACCAATAAGGTCCATAAAGCCCTTAGAGAGATAGGACGTTCTGAGGATTTTGGAAGCAACGTGTCCACATCACTGCTAAGAATACGCGAATTGGGAGTAAAGACAGGCACAGCCAAGCATGAGAAGCACACCGGTCGCACACAAAGTCTTGTTAACCAACATAGGACTGGTACTATTAATCTCACGATGCTGATGAATATGTTAAGAGGGGAATCTGAGCGCCTTTGGATGTGTCTGGAGTGCTGTGAAGACAATCTAACTCATAAGTCAAGATCCATAAAGTATCATATAAATGTTTAACGAGACATCTGCTGTTGAAATTTTTTGCATTTTTCACATTTCAGATTCAGTTGATGATAATTGCAGGTGACTGTCCGGTTCTGCATTTAAGCGGTTTCTGAATTTTGTATTTTTTGTATAAGTATAAACAATGTATAAATATAATATAAACAACATAAAAGTATAATGCAGTGGAAATTATACAGACTATTGATGAACAGTGGGATATGTTGCGTGAGTCAATTCAGCAGACATCAAAAGAGACAATCCCACCAATCCATAGTGCTGCAAAATAGAAATGGATGTTAACCGAAATTCTGCAGTTGATGGATGAAAAAAGGAAGAAAAAGAATGATAAAGAAGAATACTCTAGAATACAAAAAGAAATAGTGAACAAATGCAAAGTGGCTAAAGAGGCCTGGCTGAATCAAATGTGAACAGAGATTGGGGAAAATCACAGGAAAGACTCACATTCCATGTACCAACAGATAACTATGTTAACAGGAAAGATGACACGTAACAGCACTGGATGTTTAAAATCAAAATATGGTGACTTATTAATAGGACATAGTAATATAATTAACAGATAAACAGAGTATATAGGGGAATTGTATGATGATAATAGACCAGACGTAGAACTGCAGACCAACAATGATGGTCCACCAATAATGACTGCAGAAGTTGAGGATGCAATACATCATATGAAGAAAGGAAAAGCACCTGGGCCAGACAACATCTCACTGGAAGAAATCGAAGCACTGGGAAATTTTGGAATTGAAATAATAACTAAACTTTTAAATGATGTTTATAATAGTGGGTATATTCCAAATGACCTTTTAAAATCCATATTTATAGCTCTGCCAAAGAAACCAGGCACTTTAAAATGTGAAGACCATCGCACAATAATTCTTGTGAGTCACATGACTAAGATTTTACTGAGAATAATTATGAGAAGAATAAGAAACAACATTAAACCAGAAATCAGCGATAAACAATGTGGATTTGTAGAAGGAAAAGGTACAAACAATGCCATATACATCCTAAGGAATTGTCAGAAAGAGCTATAGAAGTAAAGACTGATTTGTACTTATGCTTCATAGACTATACAAAAGCATTTGACTGTGTGAAGCATGAAGAAGTAATCAAACTGTTAGAAAAATTAAACATTGATGGGAAAGATCTACGAAAAATAAAGAATATGTATTGGCAGCAAACAACAGCTATAAGAATTAACAACTGTTTAGGTACATTTCAAAGCATAAAGAGGGGCGTACGACAAGGATGTGTACTTTCACCTGATTTGTTTTCAATGTACAGTGAATATATTATGAGATCTTTAATTGATATGCCCGTAATTGTGGTTGGTGGGCACGATATAAACAATTTACGGTATGCTGATGACACAGTCTTGATAGCAACAAGTCAGAAAGAATTACAGGAAATGATATACATTTTGGTGTTAGAAAGTGGAAGAATGGGCCTCAGTTTGAATTATGGGAAGACAGAAGTAATGGTGGTATGAAAGAAACAAATTATTCCTAAATGTGTAATAAAAGTCAATGGTGTTATTTTAGGACAAGTACAGAAATTTAAGTATCAGGGCACATGGATAACATCAGATGGAAGATGCATAACTGAAATAAGAAACAGAATTGAACAGGCAAAAACTGCATATTATAAAATGAAAAATATCTTGTGCAATATATCCTTGTCATTGAGTGTTAGAAAAAAAAATTTTGCTTGCTACATACATCCAGTTTTAACATATGGCTGTGAATCCCGGACAATCGGTGGGCAGACCAAACAATTTTTAGAGGCCTCAGAGATGTGAAGAATGCTTAGAATACCTTGAACAACCAAGAGGTTTGGAAAGAGGCGGGAGCCCGAAGACAACTTATCACAGACATCAAAAGGAGACAATCATCATTTTTCGGCCATGTTATGAGAAGAGGGAAAATAGAACATGTTGTGACCACTGGAAAGATATGTGGAAGGAGGGATAGAGGAAGACAACAAGAGAAGATGCTTGACAGTCTTGTTGCATGGCATGGAGGTGTGTCGGCACACGAACTGTTACATGCTGCAAGAGATCGCAGGTTATGGAGAGGCATGATTGCCCACGCCAGTCGGCAAGGCACTTGATGATGATGATGATGATAGATAATCCCACTTCACATGGATATGCAGTTAAGAAATGCAGGAATAATAATTTTGCTTTCTTCGACATGATTTTAAAATAAGTTTAAAAAAGGGAAAGCCCCACCACAAGGGAAAGAATATGGGGTGCTGCTAAAAAGGGATTTTTTTGCTATAACTTTTTAATGTTACATATTATGATTTAATAAGTATTTAAACTTTTTAATGTATCTAAGACAACCAGTATAAAAATTACTTCAGCTTATAAGATGATATGTCGCCGTGTCGGTGAATATTAGACCAAGTAACAACCGGTCTTCTCCAGCCTGCAGGACCCTGACCTAGTAGGAGATGATGCCACAAACTCCACAACTGTGACCTTCACCACCTGATATACTACAAGAAGCTGTTTGTAAGAGAGATGTAGTTGACGATATGCTCCTTTTCCCTGGTCTCCCAGCTTTAGACAAGTTTCTTCTTAAAAGCAGACACTTTTGCGTTTGCATCACAAACTGTAATTCTACAGCTGGTGGAAGCAGAACCACTATGCATTGTCTTCTTGTCCCTAAATCTACATATATCCTTTACTTCTTCTTCTCAAAGTCTCTGTCACATGGAGTTGGAAGTCATGTCTATCCACAACCTTCTGTCTCATGTACTTTCAATCAACTGATACAGATGATCCTCCATGCCATGATGTCAAACTGTCCCGCATCTTTTCTCTCCGTCTCCCCCTGCCTCTCTTCCCCTCCAACTTTCCTACTCTCATAATAAAGAAGTTTTGTTTTGTAAAACATTTGTCATTTTATGGTAATTGTGCTGGTTAACTGTGATTTTAAAAGTAATTTGTTCACATCTATAAAGAAACTGGTTTATTTTCCTTGCCTAGATGGTCTCTGAAGATGAAGATAGTGATGAAGACTTTGATTCCACGCAAGACGCTGTTGTGAATGATCTCGACAAACAGAGGTTTATTGCTCATGTCCCCGTTCCTTCACAGAAAGAGGTTTGTTTCTGTCGTTTTGAGTGTATTTTTTTTTATTTTTATATAAACTCTGTCGTCATGCAACTCATTAATTGTTTTATTACATAGACCCCAGACAGTACACATTTCTGACTTTTTCTGTCACTGAAAGTTTGTTACATTAACTCATTGTAACAGTACTGTTACAGTAAAAGTCTGTGGTAAAGCACCAGCAAGAAAATCAAAATTAACATTTTTAGAGTATGCATCTTCCCTGTAGCAACAAATGGATGCGAGTCACAGACTATCTCCCAGCACTCAGGAAAGAAAAAAGGGGCTTTTTGAGTTGAAATGCTATAGAAAGATTCTCAGAATATCATGGACAAAGAAGGAAAGAAATACTGACATTTTAAAAGATCTGAACATCAAGGAAGATCGGCTAATAAACAGCAGCTTGTCTTGGAATCTGAAATATTTTGATCATATCAAGCACCATAGCGGTTTAGAAAAAATAATAACAGAAGGCATGGTACCAGGAAGGAGGGTCAGTCGCTGACCAACATGAAGATGGTCACAGGATATAAGTGACTCCTTAAATATGAAAGTACATGAGGTGGGAGAGCTGGCGAGAGACCAAGTTTCTTTTAGTCAGACCTTGATGTAGCGACATTCTGCAAAGCACTTGCAACATGATGATGATGAAGAACAGTACTGTTGTATTTGTGACACTTTCCTAAGCTGCTTCAGTGCAGCTCTTTTTGCTTTCCTTGCCTGTCTACTTCTGGAAAGGGGGGAGGGGTTTAAAAAAGTAGTTTTGACAGTCCTATTATGTGCCCTTTGTTTAAGGCATCCAAGAAGGGTGTTGGTCCACTCATACCAGAAGGTCTTACATGCTCTCCCAGCCTTAACCTTACTGGATTCGGAAATCAGGACTGAACATGGCAGGTGATCATTCCCAGGTTTATTTAAGACAGTCCATCTTGGATCAAAAACCGATGACTGGGATACAGATGTCAAACCAGTAGCTGTATCTGCATCGCTGTCTTGTCCTTTATGCCTAAGTTGTATAAGATGCACTCCTTTTGTTACATAGTGTTATTATTTTACCTTCCTTGGTCTCCAGCAGTGGCTACTTTAAACTAGAACTCCTTAAAGCTCAGGTGATCAGGTAATCGCAGTTCCTAGTCCTGGAGTGGATAAAGAACCAGAACTTTCCTCCAGAGTTAACAGCAGGAGGAAATTGCTCGGCAAGCACATGATGCATTAGTCCACATCAGGGTTATACAACTGGTGGCCCGCGGGCTAAAACTGGCCTAACAAGTGGCCCGCAGATCATCTGCCAGTTGTATTGCATTACCACTCTTACTTTGTTGGGACTGAGCATCTGGCCCGTGACCATCCCCATTTCCTAAATTTTGGCCCGAGTAAACTTAGTTGAATAGCCCTGGTCTACATGATATGTACCATTGTTATTATGCAGGTGCTATAAACACTGACTTACCTGTGCTGATCTGTAGCACTAATACAAAGACTGATTCAAGGTCCGGGGGAGAGTGTAAAGGTTCTAGAATATATTCAACATTGAACGGGAGACAGAAGTTGACTGCTTATCAGGTTGCAACTGGAACTATTTGAATGACAGTTCTTGTTGGTTACTGAAGAAGGGGATGGAGCACATCTGGGAATGTCCTGAGTGCAATGATGCAATTCTTTATTCATTCATTCATTCATTTATTCTGTAGCACAGTGACTTGCACTGACATACCAGCACTGGTCCGGTGGTTTGTGCACTGACCTGCCAGTGCTAATCTATAGCACAGTGGTTTATGCACTGACTCAACAATGTTGCTTCATAGAGCAATAGTTTGAGCACTTGGCTTAACAGTGCTGCTCCATAGAGCAATAGTTGAACACTGACATAACTCTTTCAGGCCCATGAATTTTGACAGACTTGGCCCACATTAATTTCCCTTTACAAAAATGGCAGAGGGGTGGGTGTACAAGAAAGGCTGTAGAGATTGTAATATACTTCTTATCCCTAAAACAGTATATATTTTTTAAAAGAGAAATGAGTGTACATTCTGAATCTGATAATAAGTGTTTGTTTGATTTTGTTATAGTTAGTGGAAAAGAAGAATTCAGCAGGTGTTAATTTCACAAGGACAACATTTCACAAAAAAATTCTTCACTTACCATGGTTTTGCAGCCACAAGAATAGTAAATATCCAAATTTGAGAACAAAACTTCAAAGTTTGTTCAATTTTCTAACATATTCTTAGGTTATGATAACTTTCTGTGTTAGTTTATCACTCAGGGGCTCTTAGTTCCCACCGAGTGCTAAGCAAAATTTCAGAGAAAAAATGAGCCATAACACACACACCATTTACTATTCACTTTGTACAGTTATTTACAGACTGTAGCTGCGATGATTTCAATGTAGCTTAGCCATAGTATAGTACTGACTCTTTGTTTAGAGCACTTTCCTTCTCTTACACTATAAATATGGTACTATGGGGCATTGTCTGTGTAACAAACTCGTCAGAATCGCTAGATTCCGAACAGCTGATCACTCAGCTTCACTGGTGTAAATTCACTGTCCGAATCACTTTCCGAAAAATCTAAATTTTTATTATCATTATCACAATTAAAAACATCTGACTGAAACAATTTCAGAGCTTCGGCCGCAAAAAGACTCATTTTGCGACCTGTTCTTGTGGTTAGAACATTGGTAATCAGTGCACTCAAAAACGAACTTAGGAAATGAACTGTCAAAAAAATTTTTATGATTTTTTCCTCTCAAATTATCCACGTGTGGTTTAGTCCAAGAAATGAAACTAAAAGGATTTCGGCAGAGTGACTTTCCCTGAATAGGTTATTTGTACCTCCAAACATTAGAAACTAGTACGAACGTGCGTGCGAAGCAAAATGTAAGAGACACGCAAGTGACAATAACACCATTGTTTGGGCAGAACGGAACTTCTCAAACTACGTTCACACCGTTGTTTGGGCCTTGAAGAGTTAACAATGCTGTTCCATAGAGCAATAGTTGAGCACTGACTTAACGATGCTGCTCCATAGAGCAATAGTTGAGCACTGACTTAACGATGCTGCTCCATAGAGCAATAGTTTGAGCACTGACTTAACAATGCTGCTCCATTGATCAGTAGTTTATGCTGATCAGTGTTGATCCATTGAACAATAGTTTGTGCACTAGCTGATCAGTGTTGATCCATTGAACAATAGTTTTGCCCCCATATGGGGGTTTTGGGGCACCATTTCAAAGGGGGGAGAGGGAAGGAGGGGGAACCACTGGCTCCTAAAAGCATATAAAAAAGGCAGCTTCCTTTAGAGTCACAGTGTATTGGCCTGAGAGTAGAGGAACTAACAGTCTGCATACAAATAAGCCAGATATTTAAAATATATAACTGCAAAATTCCTGGAACAAGACCGAAATTCAGAAGTGGACAAATAACCAGAACTTCCATCCATAATTTACAACCAGTGAGCACTAAGAAGAAAGAGAACAGTTTAGGTGCTGACTTGTCAGTGCTGATTGATAGTAGGACAGTTTGGGCACTTTAAAAAAACCACTATAAATGCTGATCCGTACATAGCACACCAACTTTTCTGCTGACTTACCAGCACTAATTCATACACAGTGACTTGTTCACCCATTTACCATTTTTTCAAATATGTCCCAGTCTTAGTCAAGGTTTCAGCTTCACTGCATTCAGGTTTATCCATACTTACTCCGTTCCTGTGATGGAGCAAATCAGATGAAATGTTCGTCACTGTTCCATTAGAGAAACTGGTGAACAAACGATTATGTGCTGTATTAATATCCTACCTTATACGATGTCATAGGACAGTCCAACATTTTGGAGGGTGGTAAGACTGGGTTTCCCGGCTTTCTGATGCTTTTAACGACCCCAAAACATCTAGAACTGGCTCTAACCCCAACCCACCTACGTCCCACAATTGCATACAGCCTAGGTTCCACGACTGCATACAGCCTAGGTTCCATGACTGCAAACAGCCTAGGTTCCACGACTACATACAGCCTAGGTTCCATGACTGCATACAGTCTAGGTTCCATGACTGCATACAGCCTATATTCCACGACTACATACAGCCTAGGTTCCATGACAACATACAGCCTAGGTTCCATGACTGCATACAGTCTAGGTTCCACAACTACATACAGCCTAGGTTCCATGACTACATACAGCCTAGGTTCCACGACTACATACAGTCTAGGTTCCACAACTACATGCAGCCTAGGTTCCATGACTACATACAGCCTAGGTTCCACAACTACATACAGTCTAGGTTCCATGACTACATACAGCCTAGGTTCCACGACTACATACAGCCTAGGTTCCACGACTACATACGGCCTAGGTTCCACGACTACATGCAGCCTAGGTTCCACGACAACATACAGCCTAGGTTCCACAACTACATGCAGCCTAGGTTCCACGACTACATACAGCCTAGGTCCCACAACTACATACAGCCTAGGTACCACAACTACATACAGCCTAGGTACCACGACTACATACAGCCTAGGTCCCACAACTACATACAGCCTAGGTACCACGACTACATACAGCCTAGGTTCCACGACTACATACAGCCTAGGTACCACGACTACATACAGCCTAGGTACCACGACTACATACAGCCTAGGTACCACAACTACATGCAGCCTAGGTTCCATGACTACATGCAGCCTAGGTTCCACAACTACATACAGCCTAGGTACCACGACTACATACAGCCTAGGTTTCGCAACTACATACAGCCTAGGTTCCACGACTACATACAGCCTAGGTTCCACAACTACATACAGCTTAGGTACCACGACTACATGCAGCCTAGGTTCCACAACTACATACAGCCTAGGTACCACGACTACATACAGCCTAGGTACCACGACTACATGCAGCCTAGGTACCACGACTACATACAGCCTAGGTACCACAACTACATGCAGCCTAGGTTCCACGACTACATATAGCCTAGGTACTACGACTACATACAGCCTAGGTTCCACAACTACATGCAGCCTAGGTTCCACGACTACATACAGCCTAGGTTCCACAACCACATACAGCCTAGGTTCCACGACTACATACAGCCTAGGTACCACGACTACATACAGCCTAGGTTCCACGACTACATACAGCCTAGGTTCCACAACTACATGCAGCCTAGGTTCCACGACTACATACAGCCTAGGTTCCACGACTACATACAGCCTAGGTTCCACGACTACATACAGCCTAGGTTCCACGACTACATACAGCCTAGGTTCCATGACTACATGCAGCCTAGGTTCCATGACTACATACAGCCTAGGTTCCATGACTACATACAGCCTAGGTTCCACGACTAGACTACATACAGCCTAGGTTCCACGACTACATGCAGCCTAGGTCCCACGACTACATACAGCCAAGGTCCCACGACTACATACAGCCTAGGTTCCACAACTACATACAGCCTAGGTCCCACGACTACATACAGCCTAGGTTCCACAACTACATACAGCCTAGGTTCCACTACTGCTTATCATCCCCTTAAATATTTGACTGTCCCATGACCTGTGGATTTCCCCATGTTTGGGGTAGGATATTAATAAAGCACCAACAATTAATCCCAGAACAGTCTAGAATAAGAACTTTTTAAAATACGAGATGCAACCGCCTGTTTCTTATTCTGCATTGCCGTGTAAATACTTTAACATGCACTTGTTTACTTTCAGATTGAGGAGGCATTGCTTCACAGGAAAAAGATGGAACTGTTACAAAGATATGCCTCGGACAGTTTGCAAGAAGAAGAAATGGAAGCCAAAGAAATGTTAGGTGTCTGATACTGAAAGTTGTGTGTGTTGAATGGCCAAACAAATGTTCTGTGTCTGATACTGAAAGTTGTGTGTGTTGAATGGCTAAACAAATGTTCTGTGTCTAATACTGAAAGTTGTGTGTGTTGAATGGCCAAACAAATGTTCTGTGTCTGATACTGAAAGTTGTGTATGTTGAGTGGTTATCAAAGAAATGTTAGGTGTTGGATACTGAAAGTTGTGTGTGTTGAGTGGTTATTAAAGAAATGTTAGGTGTCTGATACTGAAAGTTGTGTGTGTTGAGTGGTTGTCAAAGAAATACCATGTGTCTGATACAGAAAGTTGAATGGCCAAACAAATGTTGTGTGTCACTGAAAGTTGTGTGTGTTGAGTAGCTAAACAAATGTTGTGTGTCTGATACTGAAAGTTGTGTGTGTTGAGTGGCTAAACAGTTGCCATGTGTCTAATACTGAAAGTTGTGTGTATTGAATGGCCAAACAATTGCTGTGTGTCCAATACTGAAAGTTATGTTTGAGTGATCAGACAAATGCAATGTGTCTAATACAGAAATGTATGTGTTGAGTGGCCAAACAAATGCTCAGTGTCTGATACTGAAACTTATTTGTGCTAAATGGCCAAACAAATGCTTAGTGTCTGATACTGAAACTTATTTGTGCTAAATGGCCAAACAAATGCTTAGTGTCTGATACTGAAAGCTATTTGTGCTAAATGGCCAAACAAATGCTTAGTGTCTGATACTGAAAGCTATTTGTGCTAAATGGCCAAACAAATGCTTAGTGTCTGATACTGAAACTTATTTGTGCTAAATGGCCAAACAAATGCTTAGTGTCTGATACTGAAACTTATTTGTGCTAAATGGCCAAACAAATGCTTAGTGTCTGATACTGAAAGCTATTTGTGCTAAATGGCCAAACAAATGCTTAGTGTCTGATACTGAAAGCTATTTGTGCTAAATGGCCAAACAAATGCTTAGTGTCTGATACTGAAAGCTATTTGTGCTAAATGGCCAAACAAATGCTCAGTGTCTGATACTGAAAGCTATTTGTGCTAAATGGCCAAACAAATGCTCAGTGTCTGATACTGAAAGCTATTTGTGCTAAATGGCCAAACAAATGCTTAGTGTCTGATACTGAAAGCTATTTGTGCTAAATGGCCAAACAAATGCTCAGTGTGGGATACTGAAAGCTATTGCTTGTGCTGATAATGGCCAAATGGCCAAAAATGCTTAGTGTCTGATACTGAAAGCTATTTGTGCTAAATGGCCAAACAAATGCTCAGTGTGGGATACTGAAAGCTATTTGTGCTAAATGGCCAAACAAATGCTCAGTGTGGGATACTGAAAGCTATTTGTGCTAAATGGCCAAACAAATGCTTAGTGTCTGATACTGAAAGCTATTTGTGCTAAATGGCCAAACAAATGCTTAGTGTCTGATACTGAAAGCTATTTGTGCTAAATGGCCAAACAAATGCTCAGTGTGGGATACTGAAAGCTATTTGTGCTAAATGGCCAAACAAATGCTTAGTGTCTGATACTGAAAGCTATTTGTGCTAAATGGCCAAACAAATGCTCAGTGTGGGATACTGAAAGCTATTTGTGCTAAATGGCCAAACAAATGCTCAGTGTGGGATACTGAAAGCTATTTGTGCTAAATGGCCAAACAAATGCTTAGTGTCTGATACTGAAAGCTATTTGTGCTAAATGGCCAAACAAATGCTCAGTGTGGGATACTGAAAGCTATTTGTGCTAAATGGCCAAACAAATGCTCAGTGTGGGATACTGAAAGCTATTTGTGCTAAATGGCCAAACAAATGCTTAGTGTCTGATACTGAAAGCTATTTGTGCTAAATGGCCAAACAAATGCTCAGTGTGGGATACTGAAAGCTATTTGCGTTGAAGGTACATGCTAATTTGTTACAAAGCAGACGGCAGTTTAGAAATAAGTTACGAATGACCACAAAAGTGTATAGTATTTCATGTTTTTGAATGCTTCAGAATGTGTGTCTGTATAATCTTTTGTAAGCTGGTATGCCTTTTTCTGGTTTAATTCTGTACTGTTCGTGTGAATTGTCTAGTGTTATCCGATACGAATATTATTGTTTATGGAACTTGTTTTTATAAAAGATTCAGATACTCATGTCACCAGAAATTGTATGTGGTGCTGTTTTTGTTATAAGTTAATTCTACGGTAAATGGTTGTTGGAAAGTTATTTGGCATCTAAACAACTGGATATTAAAATTTGTAGGGTATGATTAGTTAGTCCTTAAGAAAGAGAATAGGGGCTTTTGAGCTGAAATGCTATAGAAAGATTCTCAGAATATCTTGGACAAAGAAGATGAGAAATATTGACATCTTGAAAGATCTCAACATTGAGGAAGATTGGCAAACAGCATCCGGTCTCGGAAGCTAAAATATTTTGGTCATATCAAGCGCCACGACGGATTGGAAAAAATAATAGCAGAAGGCATGGTAACAGGGAGGAGGGGCAGGGTCGACCAACACAAAGATGTGCACAGGATATAAATGACTCCTTGAGTATGAAAGTACATGAGGTGGAAGAATTGGCGAGAGACCGCGTCTTTTTCAGGCAGACTGTGATGAGAGCGACGTTCTGCAAAGAACATGCTACATGATGATGATGAGGGGATGATTAATAAAGATATGTTTTTTTAAAATAGTGAGATTGGTCTATGCCAGATAGAACCTTCAGTATTTATTGAGAAAAAGTCATCGCTGGATAGGACTATATATGTGACAGTATTCAGTGAAATAGTGAGATTAATCAGTCCCAGATAATCTCTTTCAGACTAGAAAGTATATTGTGGTAGTATGTAAAGATAACCTTGATACCTTGACTGACTTCTCTGGTGTAGCGGCTAGACGCTTACCTAGTGATCGGAAGGTCGTGGGTTCAAGTCCGGCAGAGCTGGACTTTTTCAGAAATAATCTCACTGATAATTCTCACTTGGGCGAGAATTATCATGAATTATTTGTTGAACTTAACCAGCACCAGCTGGCCAGTCCCTGCACTCATGACCTAAAGTGATTAGAACCCTAGTATTACTCTGCTGTCGTGCATGGACTGTGTTTTTCTGACACAGGTAACCAATTTAAAAATTACAGGCATCCATGAGTTAATGTTTACATTTTGTGTTGGGTGTAATGAGGAAAGATCGACTTAGGAATGATGATATCAGTACAGAACCAATACTGAACTTTATAGGTAGACAACAAATCAAATGGTTTGGCCATGTAACAAGATTGGCATCACACAGAGCAGTGTTATTCAGATACAACGCTAATAGTGCTAGAGGACCGCAGAAGTTTCAGAGACACTGAAAGGTACTAAATACGAAGCAAACAGGATGGCCTATTCCAGGGGTAGAAAAAAGAAGAGTTACCCGCCATCTGGTCATCATAGCTTCTTCTTCTTCACATTCACCAGTTCTAAACTCTGGCGGAAAGTTCTGGTTGTTCATCCACTTCTGGACTGCAGTCCTCTTCCAGAACCTGAGGGTTGCGTATGCATCCATTTTACAGATCTGACTCATTTGTATGCAGACTGCAGTTCCTTGCCTCTCAGGCAGATGCACTCCGACTTTGAAGGAAGCTCCCAATTAGTCGACTCTTACGACTTGCTTTTGTGTAGGCAGTGGGTCTATTCTTGTTTCCCCTATAACAGGGGGCCGGAACCCATAGGGGGAGTCATCTTGGCATTTTGTATTATTGCACTGACATTATATACATAGTCTGTGAATTCTGCTGTATCAGTCTGAATCAACTGGCGGAATATAATGTTATAATCCACATGACCGAAATGCTTTTGTCCTTTTACAAAAGAAATATGCATGTGTTATTGTTAAATGTTTTATTCTGAGTTAAGAATTGACACTCAATGAAGTGCTCCCTCCCCATCTTCAGCAGCCAGCAAAGTTCTGTTGCTGCTGGTGGCAGTAACAGTTTGATTATACGTCTGTCAGGCCTTTTCTCTGAGTGTAGAGTGTCAGGACATATCCTCTGGCGGGGAACCACCTTTGTGTAATGACTAGATGCTTGGCTGTGGATCCGAAGGTCATGGTTTCAAATCTGCATGGTCAGATTGATTATTTTTTCGTTCAAAGACAGCCTTGGCAACCAGGTCAACCCAACTTCAATTGGGTGTGCCTAGTTGACCATGTTCTTAGTACACTTGTATCCATGGTGAGGTGCAGACGGCGTCTGGAGGTGACAGGTTCAATTCCCGGCACAGTAACTGTAGCTTTTGATTTTTATGTTGTCTAGTGTGTTCTATCTTTCTACTACTTTCTATGAGTGCCGATCAATACACTTTCTGTTACTTGATTAATTCAAATGGGTACCAGGTAAAGTAATGGGAAGTCAAGATGATGTTAAACACATTACCCATCGAGGGCTGATTGGTCTTTACAGGTGGGAGTCTAGTCTCACATCATCTGTGTCAGAGTTGGTTGAAAGTACACGAAACAGAAGGTTGTGGATAAACATGACTTCCAATGACACATGGCATGGACTTTAGGAAGAAGTCTCATATGCCTGATGTGCCACTGGCATGTAAAAGGACCATTACTTACATTCCCTGGTCACTTTCCGCCGCACAATTCTTTCATCAATGTAATGATCTGTTTGTGTTTCCATATTGTTTACTTGCTCCAAAAGGTTTTTGTCCTGCATCAATTCCCCACCCACTAAGCAGCACCAGCCAATCTGTTTTACTTTGTATAATTGTTATCCCAACCACAAACAAAAATGACACTGGCTGTCAAGGGGTATTCCCGATTTATTTCTCATATTTGATTTATAACAGATTGTCAGACCTGCATGACAAATTTCATGACAGTCAACGTGCATTCACTTACTCATTATACACACAAATGATCCAGTCATTACTGTAGTACTTCTAACCAATAAATTTAATTTGTAACAATACAAAGTCACATTTCTATCATTAAAGTTAATGATCATCTTATTTCTTTGGGATGAACAAACCTACAC